ATGAGTAATAGAGGGAAAGCTATGATTAAAGATGTGCTCTATGTACCTGGAATAAAGCGGAACCTTCTAAGTGTTAGACAACTGGTCGAAAAAGTTTTCTCAGTTGTTATGAAAGATGAAGCTTTGAAATTGTTCGAAACCAAGAACAATTTGGTCTTAAAATCTCCATTGTTGAAGAACATGACATTTAAGACTATGATCAGTTCGACATAAGTTAAATGTTTGAAAGTTGTTGTCGACCACAAGGATAGTTGATTGTGGCATTTGAGGTTTGGATATTTGAACTTTCAATCACTTAATCAACTAATTACTCAAGATATGGTTACTGGTATTCCAAGTCTTGAGATGCCTGACAAACTTTGTGAAGGCTGTCTAGTAGGAAAGTAATCCATAAATTCTTTTGTTTCGACTATGCCAATAAGATCATCCTGCATTCTCGAAGTGGTACATTCAGATGTATGTGGATCATTCGAAGAACATATCATTGGTGGAAACAAATATTTTATTTCGTTTGTTGATGAGTTTAGTCGAAAGTTGTGGATCTATGTGATTAAGAGAAAGAACCAAGTATTTGAAATATTTAAGAGATTCAAGATACTTGTCGAAAACCAGAGTGAGAAGAGGATCAAAGTTTTGCAAACAAATGGAGGTGGAGAATATACTTAGAAGATGTTTGAATTTTTTTATGCAGAACATGGTGTTCATCATGAGGTAATTGCTCCTTATACTCCTCAACATAATGGAATTGCTGAAAGAAGAAATAGAACCATATTGAATATGACAATATGCATGTTAAAGCAAAAGAATTTGCCAAAATCCTTATGGGGTGAAGCTGTTTCAACTGCAGTTTATATTTTGAACATGTGCCATACCAAGATATTGAAAAACAAGGTTCCTGAAGAAGTATGGAGTGGAAAACAACCATTAGTGGGTCACTTAAAGGTGTTTGACTCTATGTGTTACAAGCATGTTCCTGATGCAAGAAGAAGGAAGCTTGATGACAAGAGTGAACATATGATTTTAGTGGAATATCATAAGACTGATGCATACAGGCTATTCAATCTAGTTAATGAGAAGATTGTTTTGAGTCGTGATATTTTAATTGATGAAAAATCTTCCTGGGATTGAAATTCTAACAATTCAATTAACAAACAACTGATGAGCTCTGATTTCGATGAAGAAACTAATGAAGTCGAGGTCGAAGGAATTGTTAAGAATCCAGTTAAAGTCAAAGTAGAAGCAGTTGCTGACATTCCCGACATAATCAAAGTCGAAGAGGATGTGGATAGAATAAGTCATATACCTCAAAGAAATAGAGTTCCTCCAACAAACCTTCATGATTAAGAAGTGGTAGGTGATGATGAAGTCACACCATATGGAGAATTAGTTCATTTTGCTTTACTTGCAGATGCTGAACCAATTAACTATAGCGAAGCTTTGAAGACTAAACAATGGAAGTTATCTATGGTCGAAGAGTTACAGGTAATTGAAAGAAATAACACATGGGAGTTAGTCGAATTGCCATCACAGACAAAAGCTATTGAAGTAAAATGGGTGTTCAAGTTGAAACACAATATTGATGGGTGGATAGCAAGACATAACGCAAGATTAGTAGCCCGAGATTTTCTTCAAAGAGTATGACTTAACTACTCGGAAATATTTGCTCCAGTAGCAAGATTAGAGATTGTTCGACTAGTGGTAGCATTGGCATGCAACCAAGGTTGATCTACATTTCATTTAGATGTGAAATCAGTATTTCTGAATGTTCCTTTAGACGAAGAGTTTTATGTCAAACAACCTCTAGGGTTTATGATTCATAAGGAAGCGAGTAAAGTATATAAGTTTCACAAAACTCTCTATGGCCTCAAACAGGCACATAGAGCATAAAACAAGAAGATCGACTCATACTTAGTTGAATTAGGATTTGTCAAATGCAAGCAGAGTATGGTGTCTATGTTCAGGTTGTAGCACAAGATATAACAATCATTTGCTTGTATGCCGATGACTTGTTGGTAACTGGAAATAGCTTAGAGAACTTGTCGAAGTTCATAGAACTGATGAGGAAGGAATTTAAAATTTCAGATCTGGGAAAATTGTCTTATTTCCTAGGCATGGAATTTCAAATATCGAAGCAAGGTATGGTGCTACATCAAAGGAAGTATGTCAACAAAATACCCAAGAGATTCATAATGGATTATTCGAATCCTGCATCCTCACCTGTCGAACCAAATGTGAAATTGGAAAAGAATGGAGAGGAAGACAAAGTCGGTGTAACTTTGTTCAAGCAAATTGTGAGATCTCTAAGGTATGTGTGCAACAGTCGACCTGATATAGGTTTCGCGGTCGAATTAGTGAGCAGATACATGAGTGAACCAAGGGTGTCATACATGAAGGCTGCAAGAAGAATTCTAAGATACTTAAAAGGATCAATAAACTATGGAATACTATTTCGACGAGACTCTGAAAGCAAAGAAGCAACAGTTAATTGTTTTAAGATGCTGATTGGTGTGGAGATAAAGAAGACCGAAGAAGCACAACTAGATATTTATTTCAAGTATTTGGTGCTCCAATCTCATGGTGTTCGAAGAAGTAACTTGTGAGGGCATTGTCATCGTGTGAAGTTGAATATATAGTAGGATCCTATGTTGCATGTCAAGCAATTTGGATCAGATTTGTACTTGAAGAAATGAAGTTCAAAGTGAAGAAACCTCTTGTGTTGCAAACCGACAACAAGTCAGCTATAAATCTGACGAAGAATCCAGTTTTGCATGGAAGAAGTAAACATATCGAAGCAACGTTTCACTTCTTGAGAGAAAAGGTAAAATCGAGGTGAACTTGAAGTAAGACATTGCTCGAGTGAAGATACCGACATTTTCACCAAAAAATTGAAGATCGACATATTTCTGAATTGAGAAAGAAATTAGAAATAGTTCAGACTGACTATTTTTAAAATATGTTCGACAACTTAGATTATAGGGGCGTGTTGAAATATTAAATTAGATTTGTTAAAATATTTGATTTGATTTGATTTAATATTTAAATATAATTCAAATTATTTAAACTCAAATTCAATTAAAATTATATATAAATAGTTTTAGTTTGTATCAATATTTATACAATTTAATAATATAAATTATTATTATTTTTATTATTTTCTCTTTCTCTTCTACCTAAAACTGACTTACACACTAACAAAATTAACAAAGAAAACAAAATAATGAATGATTTGTCCACTTTATGGTCGTTGAATATGCCTCCCATGTGATGACTATTTTTAAACTTTTCATTTTCCTTTTGTTTATAGATAATTGTTTTCCTTCAAGACAATGTTATCATCAATCTCAAGACTTTTAGCATCTTGAAGCTTTGTGGTAATTATCTCCAATGGTTGAACCTCAATAATTTTCAATTCTCCATTTTTATCCCACAAGACAATGTATAGCCCAATCACAATTATCAATGATCCTATTACATTGTAATTTTAGAAGAAAAATGTAAATAATAATATAAAAAAGCTTTAAAAAAAATTAAATAATAAGACGAATTAAATATTTGAAACCCCGTGGTTCATCTAGTAAGAGAGATCCCCTCCAATGACCACTAGAACAAGAAATAGAGGGTTGAAAACAGAAGCATAGAGTGGACCTTTTATATGCACACACCATACAATCAGAACCCTACAAATATAAAATATTATTAAAAAAACACTACAAATATAAAATATTAATATTTTATTTATATTAATAATTTATTTATATTAATATATTAATATATAAATATAAATAAATGATATACTGCCAAACTGACTCCAATGGCTTCTTTCCCTAAATAATGCAAATATAATTGATTGAATAGAAGCCATCACGCACATCAATGTTGCACTTGTATGATCTTAGCATATAATCATACACAAAATATATTATTTAATACAACTTGCAAAATGAAGTTAATTAGATACGTTGTTTATAGTATAAAATTAATAAAATGTGTGACCTGAATTATCAACCATATTGAATATGATATACAAGTGTCCAATGCAAAAGAAGAGCCCAATATATTATTATTATTATACACATTTTGTGGTTGTAGATGATGTTTCAACAGATTCACATGAGTAGACCATAGGTGAATTTCAATACTCTTATAGAATGTGAGAATCATAGCTCCACTGATTCTCATTAATGTGCCAACCACCTTTCCACCTTTGCTTTTCCTGTTAATGTTCTAATGTTTAATCTTTTCAATCTGAAAATAATCCACAAAGAAAAGCTTGAAAAAGAACTTCTGCAGCGATCTTTGGTTTTCTCTTCCTGTGGAAGCATAAATCCATGATATGAATTATGTTATGTTGAATTTTTCTTTGGTTTACTACTAATGAATCTTATGAATAATAGAATTAAAGTGAAACCTCTCAGCAAAGTAAGCAGGAGGAACCATAAAAATTGATGCAAAGAGGTAACGATAAGCCACAAGTACGCATAAACTCATTCCGTTGTTATTTGCAACCAATTTGTACAATATGCTGACAACACCATAAGCAACCTGAAAATGCTGCTTTTACTCCATCTATGAACTTGCAAATAGATGACATGTTAATAAAATATTAATCACAAATATTAGTGTTAAGAGAGTTTTGTTTTCTATATTATCTATTCAAACAAAAATCTTGTTTATATACTAATCATCATTGAGCTATTAATTCCAAATTATAATGCAAGAATTCAAGGTGCCAAGAAGACACATTCTATTGAAACATACAAGGGGCACATTTCCCTCCACCCCCCCAAAAAAAAAAGATACCTTTAATCATCATTGAAAATTTATCAAATAATTTTAATTTTTTTTCCTTAATATCTTTAATAAGTATTTAAATTTCTTTGACCAAGCACTAAACATAGTAAAATAATTGCAAATATTTATCAAAACAGTGTCAAGATTATGTACTGTGAATGAGTGAATTCAATTTTAAAGAAAAAACAAAAAAGAATGATTACAAGGGCTTATTTGCTTCTCATGCATCTAACAATAACATCAACAAATTTCTTATACATGTGTTGCTTCAAATACATCTTCTCCACCTTCTTTCTTCCTTCCATTGCCATTTGTTTCCTTGCCAACTGGTTTTTGAGCAAATATCGAAGATTCTGTGCAAGGATATCGTTCCCTGCTGCGCGTCCAATTGGATGAAGAAGACCTGTAACATTGTGTTCGACTATCTCCTTCGTTCCCCCCGCATCCGTTCCAAGAACCTAGACAGGATGAATTGTTATTAAGCACTAATTAATTGATGAAAAAGTATTGAATTTTGCTTTGAATGAATGAGTTAAGTCATTCTATTATGCAGATGAGAGGCTATTTCTTCGTCCTACCATTTAGTTATTTCATCGTCGCACCATTAGACGGTTAAAAATGTTGAAAACCTAGACAGGAAAGAAGGTAGTTTGCTCGTCTTGTTCTATACAAATCCTAGTTCTCTCACCAGCATCTCTCAGATTTTATAGATCATAAAGATACACATTCTGATTCCTAGTTATGCAACTAATATGCTATTTGTGTAATTCGTCAGTAACAATTATCAAAACTCAGGCGTGAAACTCAAAATACGTAAATGCACTAGAAGTCATACCGGAAGACCAAATGCCATTGCTTCTATAGTCACCCGTCCAAATGTCTCTCCAAGTCCCTGTTCACCATTTGTTAATTAGCAACAGCTTCTCATATTGGAGGATATTTCAGTAATTAAATTAATAGCTCTAAACATAGGTAATATGAATGTCAGGTGCAAACTAGATTCATAATTATATGCATATGCTAATAACGAATGAGATAACAAATAACGATATGAATGTATAAGAATTTTACCTACTACTTTATAAACAAAATAAACAGGACCTACCTGAGAGTTTATGACATAAACATCTGCGGCCGAATATAGCGACGCAACCTGTGTTGTGGATGGAGTCCACAAAACTGATTTTGAAGTGTTGGGATGCTGTTCTAAGAAACTTAGAAGGCTTTTAACATAATCCCCCTTGTTACTTTTAGATCCAACAGAACCAATGAGAACTTTGAGAGATTGTTTCCTTATGTGATTATCAAAGTTTACATAATCAGTGCAACAAATAAAAAATAGATACCACAGAATCGTAAGTTATAAGAATTAATTTCCAGATTCATGTAACCAACCTGCTTATAGAATTGCTTGAGATATCATTCGAAGCTACTTTGCCTTTCTTCAACAATGGTAACAGTTTTCTAGCACGATGTCTTCTTGCCTGAGTAGACAGGCCTTCCTTTATATTTGATAATTTTTTCATTTTTTTACCATCTTCCAACTGTATATGTTCTACTACCGAGCTTGCTGATTCAAGAAGCAGCAGCTGGCCCTTTGCGGGGTTGATGCTACTCAGAGATATCACAAGCATATCATTATCCGTTAATCCCATTTCTTTTCGAACCGATTCTCGCAACAACTGCTTTTTCTCAATCATTTTATCAGTACTAAAGGATGGAGTGTTAAGTGTAGAGGGAATGCCAGCTACAAATGCCAGTTCCTCATTAACAGACAAAGGCACAATTTCGGGTTGAGATCTCAATTTTATGTTTTCTTCTTCACACCATTTTAGCCATTGTTTAGATTGCGAATCAGAAAGAAAAACCAACATCTTTACTCTGTGCAAGACACCCTTTGAACGATCAAAGTACTCTCGACGATTTTCCATAACCCACCAAGCAACTTGACTCCCTCCCGCAGGAAAACGTTCAATATATTTTTCTAGAGACATAAGAAAACAAAGGGGTTTGTTTTATTAAGACATGAAGAGCAATTACAAACTCATATTGATAACTTCTATCTGAATAATCTGACAACAAATTGTGCTACTATTTTGCAATGAATCTGTGCAAGTACATATAAAAGAGAGATGCAATTGGAATCCTTCAGTATTAGAACCAAAAATAGTAATAACAAAACAATCTATAGATACTATACCAAATAATAAAGGAAAGAATAAATGATCATCATAATTAATCATAATCAATGTTTTCATACCAATCCATGATGCACATACTGCTGAACCAGCAATTACGAGATCAGCCTTCATTGCAGTTTTGAAGCTGAGCTCTGCTTTATCCTCCAGCACCTTGATTCGTCTTCTAGAAAGCTCCGACAACAAACCACCCTTCCTGCTAAGTGCAACAGCTGAAACAGTGGCTCCACAGCTCAAAAGCTCTGTAGCCAACTCCATCATTGAAAGCGGGGCTCCCGTCATGGAAAGCTCGTGGAACACCAAGATAAATCTTCTGGACCAAACCAGACGCGCAAAGTCCCCCTTCCTATTACATGTCCCAGAACGCTTCTGAGGACTCCATTCCAATATCCTATCCTCTATGGAACCAAATGGACCAACAAGCAACCCATATGTACTATTTGTTTGAGGAATTTCCGGTTCCTGCTCCTCTATAGTGTTGTTCTTAATTTCCACTGTCAGTTTTTTCTTACCGCGGGCTTTACCTTTCGAAGATCGCTTACTCTTTTTCCTCGAACTCACTTTACGATGAGATGAAACATCATCATCATTAGTTTGTTTCTTTGCCAAAGCCAAAGCCACATTTATTGTTCTACCAATCCCATCTTTATTTCTAATTATACCATTATTAACAGACAAAGACTCGTCCCTACCAATCAAATCACGACGAAGACTCGGATCAGAGTCTAAACCAGTATTCCTGGGCCCAGTCCCAAATCCAGAAAACTCCTCTTTCTTATCACTATGTGCCCACCTAGACTGAACAAAGAATCCAAGATAAGCCCATAGAGTAATCAGAAGCAACCACAACAACACGCGATTACTCCGAAACAACATCGAACCGCCAAAACCCCGTCCGTCCTTCCTCGGCGTTCGACTCAAATTCAATCTTCGAAACGAAGGAGAATTACTTGGCGGAGTGGATCTTCCGGATAATGTTGATTTAAAACTAGCACCTGATCTTAATGAAGAGAGCTTAGCCAAACTAGACTGAAACTCACCTCTATTAGTACTTTCCTCCATTAGTTTCCTTTCCTCAACAATCATGATTCACATATGAATGAGTAAGAAGCTTGACCCTATGAAACCCTAAATTGAAGCTCAAATTCAGCAACAAAAAAAGCAACACTTGTACAATAATGCTTGAAGCTGAAACAGAATTCTGATACAAAGATGAAAGATTTAAGTTCTCAATCAGAATCCATTTGTATATTTGTGTTAACAAAAAAAATAATAATGAAAAATAGTTTTCTTGTTTATAATAGAAGATGATTTAAAGATTGTAAAAGAAGAAGCAAAGAATTGGAAGCATTACATTGGATTTGAAGATCTGTGATTGATTGATTGTTGAAGTAGAGTTCACCACTGTGAGAGTTTGTGGTTACTTGGATGCAGCAAATGAAGAAGATGAGTTGACACTGTCACTCAGAACTGAGAGAGAGAGAGAGAGAGAGAGAGAGAGAGAAACAAGGTTCTAACTCTGAGGAAGACAAATTGATAGCACGTGCGTATGACACGTGTGATATATTTCACACTGTAATAAACGCGAGAAAAAGTTACTGTACCGTACCGTCGGTGGGTCTCAAGTATTTTTGTTCAGATATTATGACCGTTTGATCAATCCAAGGGTGTTGATTTCTACACGTGTGAAACTGTCTTCAACTTTTTATAATGGTCTTTTATCTATTCTTATTCTTACTCTTTTCTTGTCTTCCTTTCTTGCGTATGTACGGTTACTAACCGATTAATTGAGGTCTTGTCTTGTTTTAAAATATATCTTTCTAATATACTACTTTTTTTCGAGAGTTTCAAAAGTATGTAAATTTAATAAATATTTGTAATTGAATTTTATGTGTATTTATCATTATTGTCAACAGAAGATTTTGTCTGATTTTTTTAATAAAAACATGATTACAAATTAATTATAAAATAAATACAGAATAACTTTATCATACTTCTGTTGAGTTGAGGTAGTAGGTCGATCAAAGTTTAGACTGGTCTGAAAATCATTAAAAAGAATTTTAAGAAGTTCTTTCGTGAAGATATCAGTAATTTAGTATCGGGAAAGAACATAAAAAATGTGAGTCTGACCATTGACAACTTTCTCCTAAACAAAATGAATGTCCATTTTAGTGTGTTTAGTACGCTAATGCTAGACAGGATTACCAGATAGGTAGATATAACTAACAATTGTCACAGTACACCAAAGTAATCTGAGAAAGAGAAAAATGAAGCTCCGGTAGAAGGTTGTAGGTGGAGCCAACATGATTCTAAAACCACATTAGCAACACCCCAGTACTCGACCTCTGCACTTGAACGAGAAAGCGTATATTCTCTTGGAAGACCATGAAATTAGGTTATCACCAAGAAAAACACAATCAAAAGTAGATTGATGGGTGTCGGGACATCTACCACAATCAGCATCTGTGTAGAAAATAAGCTTCTCGATGGGAGAAGGATAAAGATGCAAACCATGATGTAAGGTTCCCTGAACATAACTCACTATGATGCATTTCAATGCAAGCATGTGCTCGGTGCATGTAACATAAATGTGAAATCACACATGCTAGACATCATAAGAGATGTCAATACGGGTAAATGTGAGATACTGCAAAGCACCGGCAAGACTCTGATATAAGGTAAGATCATTATACGCAGTGTCGGCAGAGGTACTGAGCTTTTGTTTAGTGTCAACTGGAGTAGCAGAAGGTTTACAATTAGGCCATGTCGGTTGTAGCAATAATGTCATTGTTATAGGTACTCTTACTAAAGAAATGTCCATCTTCATGTCTGGTCACTGCAACACCCAAAAAATAGTTCAGTGGTCCCAGATCCTTCATAACAAACTATGAGGCAAGAAGTATTATGATAGATTTGCGTAGGTCATAAGAAGAACTAGTAAGGATGATGTCATCAATATAAAGCAAGATGTAAGTCATGTCAGATCCACGTCGGTAGATGAAGAGAGAGTGATGCGAGGTGTTATGTTGAAATTCAATGGTAGAGACATAGTCAACGAAACACTGGTACCAGACACGAGGTGCTTGCTTTAAACTATAGAGATATTTTCACAAGCAGCACACATAATCTGGGTGATGATGATCACAGAAACTCGGTGACTGATGCATGTGAACAGTTTCATGAAGATCACCATGTAGAAAGACATTTTGGACATCTAACTAATGAATGGGACAGGACTTGCAGAGAGCAATGGTGAGAACAAGGCGAATGGTCACAGGTTTCATCAAAGGGTTGAATGTCTCATCACAATCCACTTGTGTAATTTAAGACCTTCCATCACATACAAGACAAGATTTCTAACGCTCAGAATAGCCATTAAATTTATTTTTATGCCTGAAAATCCACCTACAATGAATAATATTATCATCACAAGGTCGATGAACTAAATCCTGCATATTATTTATAATAAGAGCATTAAATTCATAATGCAGATTTCCTATTAGGGTCAGAAAGGGCAAGTTTATGGTTTTTGAAAAATGGGGGGGGGGGGGGGTGGTCGGATCATCAATTGTAATGGACGAATTAAAAAGTTTCTAGGTTTGTAAATACCCCTCATGATGCGAGTGGTCATAGTCTAGGTAGGAGGTGTGGGTTGGGTCGATGGTGAAGGTGAGGAAAAGGTATCCAGGTGATTCAAAGAGAAGGAGAGGGAAGTGGCTGGGGAGGTTGGTGATATATGGTGAGGGTCGGGTATAAGTGACTGTCTAAGAAGGTCATCTGGTGGAGACTGTAAAGAAGGATAAGTCCACTGATAAAAAATAGAGGGGTGTAAAGCATCAGTGAAACAGTCGTATGTAAGGGCGGGTGTGGAGGACAGGCGGGCAAAGGGAAACTGAATCTCATCAAATATTACATGTCACAGATGATGATTTTTCTGTTTGACAAATCAAAACATTTATAACCTCTGTGATTAAGGGGATACCCTAAGAAAACACACAGAGTCGGGCAAGGTTGTAATTTGTTAATGATAGAGGAGAGAAACAAGGGACAACAAAGATAACCAAATACGCAAAAATATGTGTAAGAGGGATTACGATGATATAGAAGTTGCATAGAAGAGAGATAGACATAGTTTTCTAGGGAAGAATGTTAAGAAGATATGTGGTCATTTGAAGCACGTGATGCCATAATGAGGGAGGAACATTATCATGAGCGAGAAGAGTGTGAATCATGTTGTTAATGGTGCATATTTTTGTTCCGCCTTGCCATTTTGTGATAAAATATGAGTGCAAGAGAAGCAAAAAATGAGACCATTAGCAACACAATAATTATAAAAATATATATTGTCATATTCTTGATATTATAACATCAAAAATATTTGATAATTTGAGAAAATTGTGTGTGAATTTGATTTGAGATAAGTGAATATTTCAAAAACTTGAGATTTATTTGTTAGAAGAAACATCCACGGAAAATTAAAAAAAAAATCCAAAAATAAAATGTAATAACAATAACCAACTGAACTCAAAACTGATGATGTCCATAAATCGTTATGTAAAATATCAAAGGGGGTCACAATAATATTATTGAATAAAATAAAAGACAACCTGACATGTTTACTGTTCTGGATTTGGCCTGCTCTTGGCCTAAGTCCACATAAGGCCCAATCCAGCCCGACCAGTCGAAGACCATCGGGAAATAGTATCCACTCTTCAAGAGGACGATGCTTCGCCACATGGCGACGGACCCAAGAAGACGCAGTAAGGCACATCACCGGGCAAGAGGACCTCGAGCAAGACTAATCTTCTCGCACGGCCTCAGGCTAGCGGGGATCCTGCTCGATGGATAGAAGTACCCCCATAAGCATCCTCCTCGTATGGCTGACTAACAACGCCTCTGAACATCACGAAGTCCACTTGACCCCGAAAAACCTGCATCCATATTCTCCTAGTCATGTGAAAGAATCCATCCAGTTAGAGGACCACGTGCTGGTCCCCACTACTCACGTAGAAACCAGGCAGTCTCCACTTTGGGCCTGCTTGCCCAACTCAATGAGGGGACCTTGGCCCAGCGTTGGGGGCTATAAATACCCTCTCAAGAGAGAGGGTCAGGTATTGAACATTTCTTACTCACTCTTGCTTGCTAGCTCATTCTGAATCTCACTTTGGCTTCAGAGTGTCTTGCAGGTACCCCCCACCTCACTCTCAAGTTTGGCTCGACGTAAGCTGTGACAGTCCATTCTGGCCAGGTACGATCAGTGGCGCCGTCTGTGGGAATCAAGCTTCCCCGTCTTTCACTTGCATAAGACAAAAGCTAATACAACTCCTTTTTTACTGTCATGGCTGACCTCACGACAAAAAATAACCTGAATGTCCATCCCGCCGACATCAACAACAACGTCTCCAACAACAATGTTGACACCAACAACGTTAGTCCCGCTGACCACAACACCAGTAACAATAACAACATTGGCAACAACATCGACCACGCCGTTGACATGCCCGGCCCCTCAGAATATAGAGATTTAATGACTGCCCCATCGTCGTCACTGTCCCGCCTACTCGAAGACGATCGTCGTCCTCCCCGGAACTATCAGCCAAACGCATTTTAGGAGGTCCCCGTTCCTGCGGACGCTGATGCCACGACCAGGAAACTGTTCGCGGCTATAAATCAAACAAACTACTTGATCTTTTCACAAGGTGAGAGATTAAGGGTGCTCGAAGATTCTCGAAGAGCCCCCAGAAGACACATGTGGCCTGATTCTCCTCCTGCCCATCAGATAGAGGATCGTCCCAATCTCCCCCACGGAGACGCATACGTGATGCCTCTCGAAGCCTATCAGCCCATTGATACAGGAAGACGTGATCACGTCCGCCCGCGCCAAGAGCGAAAACGCCCTGGAAACAGAAACAGGGGAAATGAATAACAACAACCTCGGCCGAGGGATCCTCCCCACGACCAGGGCCTCCATCACGACCGCCATTATAATAGGTTTCCTTCTCGATCTCCAGACATAAGAGATAAAGACAACCCCCGCGGTCCCCTATCCCAGGATATTATGG